TCCCACTTAACGGGCTGTCCTGGCCGTTAGATCGACGACGTACTGTCCTCACTGTACCAACATGGGTCTTTTCAGCATGCTTTGTCCTCACTCGCACGCTCCCCGAGAAAACTTCCCAGGGGGGTCACCCATCATAGAATTGCTCCAAGCCAAGCACGCTTAACTGTGGAGTTTCCAACGATGGACTTCCGGAAAAGAAGGTGCACCTTGTGGTATGAGTAGTACCTATCAAATCTCTTAAGCTTTCTTGGTCTGGGGTATTACAATCACCCCCCGTTAGACTCGCGACGTCCTCGTCGCGCTTGATCCATCTGAGGATCTGTTGCCAGGCGTTGGGATTCTAGAGGTGGCTCCTACGAGTTCAAGAGGTGGCTCCCGTCCTATGGCGTAGCACTTTGTCCCGCATAGCACTTAGTTCCCGATTTCCGACTGGCAAACGGCTCTGATACCATTTGTAACGACCCGGGTCCCACTTAACGGGCTGTCCTGGCCGTTAGATCGACGACGTACTGTCCTCACTGTACCAACATGGGTCTTTTCAGCATGCTTTGTCCTCACTCGCACGCTCCCCGAGAAAACTTCCCAGGGGGGTCACCCATCATAGAATTGCTCCAAGCCAAGCACGCTTAACTGTGGAGTTTCCAACGATGGACTTCCGGAAAAGAAGGTGCACCTTGTGGTATGAGTAGTACCTATCAAATCTCTTAAGCTTTCTTGGTCTGGGGTATTACAATCACCCCCCGTTAGACTCGCGACGTCCTCGTCGCGCTTGATCCATCTGAGGATCTGTTGCCAGGCGTTGGGATTCTAGAGGTGGCTCCTACGAGTTCAAGAGGTGGCTCCCGTCCTATGGCGTAGCACTTTGTCCCGCATAGCACTTAGTTCCCGATTTCCGACTGGCAAACGGCTCTGATACCATTTGTAACGACTCGGGTCCCACTTAACGGGCTGTCCTGGCCGTTAGATCGACGACGTACTGTCCTCACTGTACCAACATGGGTCTTTTCAGCATGCTTTGTCCTCACTCGCACGCTCCCCCAGAAAACTTCCCAGGGGGTCACCCATCATAGAATTGCTCCAAGCTAAGCACGCTTAATTGTGGAGTTTCCAACGATGGATTTCCGGAAAAGAAGGTGCACCTTGTTGGTATGAGTAGTACCTATCAAATCTCTTAAACTTTCTTGGTCTGGGGTATTACATCAAGTTTCTTGTAATGTTTCAAAATTAAGTAGACAACTACCTTGCTACATTTGTCCTATAGCTAAACAGAGATGGCTATCATTTGAATCTCACAATAAATTGTCTAATAAACCCTTTGATTTGTTGCATGCTGATATCTGGGGGCCATACCACACGGCTTCAAACACAGGGCATAAATATTTCCTGACTCTAGTGGATATTTGTTCCAGATTTACATGGGTCTATATGCTCCATCAGAAATCTGAAGCGGAGAATGGTATAATCCGATTTTTCAACATGATTGCCACTCAATTTGATGCTAAAATTAAGTGTTTCAGTTCTAATAATGTACATGAATTAGCTTGTAAAAAAGTTTTTGCTGATAAGGGAGTGTTGCACTAATTCAGCTGTTTTGAGAGACCACAGCAGAACTCCATCGTCGAACGAAAGCATCAGCATTTGTTGAATGTTGCGCGAGCTTTGTTTTTCCAGTCCAGGATTCCCATTCTTTACTGGTCTGAGTGTATTTTAATAACTGTGTACCTCATAAACCGAACTCCCTCTCCCATTTTAAGAAACAAAACTCCTTTTGAGGTTTTATATGGCAAACCTGCTGATTACTCTCACATTCGTGTTTTTGGCTGCTTAAGCTTTGCTTCCACCCTTACTGTACACGGAAATAAGTTTCAAACTCGAGCTTATGTGTGTTTTTGGAATATCCTTCAGGAGTTAAGGGATTCAAATTACTTGATATTGCCACAAGGCATATTTTCATTTCCAGAGACGTTATTTTTCATGAAGAAACTTTCCCTTTTCATACCATTGTGCAATCTGATCAATTGCTAGATCCTTTTCTTGATTTGGTATTGCCATCTCCTGCTCTTTCCACTCCAATTGTTTCTCCTATTAGATCTAATCATCATCCTCTAGAAACAGGTATCCCAGATGCTGTTCAATTTTCTTCCTCCACTGAAACACCTCACTCTACTGAAGCATAGAATCCTGCATTGCCTGATAGCATAGATTCTGACAGACCATCTGATTGTGTAGTTAGGGCTGGACAAAATGTCCGAACCGAACCGAACCGAACCGAGCGAGTTTTTTTAAATGAAATACCCGAACGGGTATCCGAATCGAAAACCGAATGACTTGGTTCGGTTCTCGGTTCTAGACCCAGAACCGAAGAACCGAATAAGAACTGAATTTTTTTTTAATATTGGATAAATCAATTTCTTTTATTTTTTCTAAATAAATTAATAATTTTTTTCTTATTAAATCTTATTAGTTGAACAATTTAGAGTTTATTTATGTTTGTTAGTTGTGTTTTTTTCAATTTTTTCTTGTATAGTCTCTTAGTAGTTAGTATGGAAAGTCAAGCAACTTATTATTACATTAAATAGTTGGTAAGTATTATCAATACTTTAAAATATTTTATCTTTATTACTTCTAATTTATATTTCATTTTTATGTAGACTTGAATGTTTGAAGCAAACGAATTATTGATATGAATTATCGAAGTTTTATTAGTAATATTTACTTTTTCGTATTTGTATTTGACAACTTATTATTTATATGTTATTAAATTAGATTACGTTAATTTATAAAAGTTAAGATTGAACTTGGTATTTATATCTACTTTTTGTTATTAATATTAGTATCTACTTTCGGGTGTATTTATGTAGTATTATTTTAAATGTTAAAAAATTTAATTATAGTACGGAACCGAACGGAACCGAATAGAATCGAACCGAATCGAACCCGAACGGTTCCGAAATTATATTTGGAACCGACGGTTCCATTTACTAAATACCTGAAAATTTCTGAAACCGAACCGAACCGAACCGAACCGACCCGCGCCTACCCCTATGTGTAGTTAGAAAATCCACGAGATCCTTTAAACCTCCTAAATACCTCCATGACTACCACTGTAATCTGATGTCACATGTTAATCATCCTTTATCTCATTCCCAATATTATATTGGCAATTTCATTTCTTATCAAAATCTATCCAACTCCCATAAACATTTTGCCTTATCCATTTCTTCCAATTTTGAACCACATTTTTCCACCAGGCTATTAAGCATCCTCACTGGTATGAAGCAATGAAACTTGAACTCAAAGCCTTGGAAGACAACAATACATGGTCCATAGTGCAACTACACCTAGGAATCACACAGTGGGATATATGTGGATTTACAAAAACAAATTTCGATATGATGGTTCACTTGAAAGGCATAACGCACGCCTTGTTGCCAAGGGATACACCCAGCAAAAGGGACTCGATTACTTTGACACTTTCTCACCTGTGGCCAAGACAGTGACTGTAAAACTGATGCTCACTCTTACAGCTCACTTTGGTTGGCATTTGGTTCGACTTGATGTGAACAATGCTTTTTTGAATGGGGACTTGTTTGAGGAGGTATATATGGACCTTCCATTGGGTTATGATTTGCTTAGGCCATCCAAACCGGGGGAGAAGTTAGTATGCCGGTTGCAGAAATCGATTTATGGCCTGAAGCAAGCTTCTAGACAATGGAATTCTAAATTCACTCAAGCCCTTATAAAGCATGACTTTTCTCAGTCAAAGGCAGATTATTCTTTTTTTTTTCAAAGGGTCAGGACAATCCTTTGTAGCTCTATTTGTCTATGTGGATGACAGAATGATAACTGGACCAAATATGGAGGTGATCAACTCCTTGAAAACTTTCTTACATTCTCAGTTCAAGCTTAAAGACCTTGGTTCTTTGAAACACTTCTTAGGCATTGAAGTTGCCAGATCTACTTCAGGCATTGTGATATCATAGAGAGAGTATACACTACGGCTGCTTGAGGATGCTAACTATCTGGGCTGCAAGCCAGTTGGCAGCCCCATGGATCCAAAAGTTTCTCTCAGCCAACATGAGGGAGATCTGCTACCTGATGTCTCTCATTACAGGAGATTGGTTCGGAAACTTCATTATCTGATTTTGTCTCGTCCTGACATCACATTTGCTGTGCACAAATTGAGCCAATATGTTTCTCAACCACGGATGACACACCTTAAAGCTGTGTATCACCTACTACGTTATTTAAAAAGTCAACCTGGACAGGGCCTTCTCTTCCCCTCACACATTGGCTCAGATCAATCCCTTAATGTTAGAGCATTTTCAAATGTTGATTGGGGCGCTTGTATTGATACTTGAAAATCCACTACTAGATTTTGTGTTTTTGTTAGGAACTCCTTGGTATCATGGAAATCCAAGAAACAACCTATTATATCTCGATCTTCAGCAGAGGCTGAATACAGGGCACTTGCTTCAGCTGTAAGTGAAATCATGCGGCTCCGACAATTGTTGAAGGACTTTCAAGTTTGTTCCTTAAGTCCAGCTAACCTTTACTGTGATAACCAGGCTGTAATTCAGATTGCCACCAATCCCCTTTTTCACAAACAAACAAAACATATAGAAGTTGATTGTCACTTCATTCGTGACAAGATTAATGCGGGGATGATCAAGTTGCTTCCAATCTATTCCAGACATCAGCTAGAAGATTTGTTCACCAAACCATTACCTCATTCCACTCTGTCTCACCTCCTTTCCAAGATGTGCATAAAGAATATTTATGCACATCTTGAGGGGGAGTATTGAACTAATTTTAGTTTTATTACCGTAATTAAAAGGTTAGTTAGATTAGTTAAATTTTGTTTTCTCTCCTTTCCAGCTGGAGATTAGTTATGTCAGCTGGATTATTCTTCCCGCCTGTTTTTTCACTTCTCCTCTATTTAATCTAGAGATGATGTATTACATTTTTAAGTCAATGGAAATAATTTCCCTCCAAAGGTGTTAACCCCTTTGCTTCAATAAAGCACAACCACGATAAAATCCCGTAAGACCTTCCTTTTCAAAAACCTTCTTAATGCAATCGAGAACACCATCATACTGTAACCCAGAATTCATCATTTGTCCTTGCTCTTGCAACTTCGACCGCACAATTTGGTGAATACATAGTTCAGACATTACAACAGGTTCAAAAGCAGGTGTAATGAACCTCCCACCCCTCAAGAAAAGTACATGGAGAGTTGAAGACAAAATCAAGACATTACCCAGTTGGTAGGTCCTTCTCTGAAATGTTTATATGACTAGTGACTCATCAAGCATAGAGGTGTACAGTATACCTCATGTGGGTAAGTTGAAACAGAAGCAATAACTTTAGCAAATGAAGAGGTAATATCAACTTTCTGAGGGCTTAGCTCATTGTTGCTTTTGTTTTCTGACAACTTGAAGAACACGTGATTAGAGTCGCACAGCTCAGGCAAGATATTAGTTCAACCAAAACCACAAAAAGGAAGAAATACACAGAGCATAGAAAAAGGCATCAAATCTTACCCCGTTCTGCTAAGTAGTATTTCATTTTTTTCATATGCAGGGAGCTGAATAGCAACATGACTAATCCCAGCAAGAGAAGGCAGGAGGCCACTGTATAAGCCACATAAGATATTTAAGTGTATATTAATTATGGGAGAGAGATACACATGATCAAGATACCATGCACCTAATTTTCTTTTACCACAAGATAGAAACATATATTTAGTTACCACTAGTTTTCACTAATTATACTACTCCATTTCGTGAACAAAAAAATGTCTGTCAGTTCAAGTGAAACAACATACAACAATCCAACATCACATGGATAGAAACATGACTATTTTAAATTTTTGAATAAAGAACTTTAAAGCACTAACCTCTACCATCCTCGGATTCCTTCCTCGCGTGCAATGCGTCTCAAAGCAAAAAAAAATGCTCTTCTAAGGAACCACACCCTGCCTTATTCCCTGTGTCGAAATAAAGAGATGAAATTTTAAATGTAACTCTCAAAAAATAATAATTAAAGAATCTAGAGAAGTGAAAAACATTGTCAATAGGGAAAATCATTATTCAATATATCAAATTAATGCTACAAGAACCTAGTCCTAAGAAAATATAATCCTTCACCCAAGGGTCACATCACAAATAGTTCCCCAAAATAACCAAATTATAACTTCTTATCTTTTGAGATCCACACTACAATATGAGGTAAAAATGCCAAAAAACAAACAAAAAGATTCACAAGAGCAATAGGATAAGTCTAAATCCAAATCAGATCTGTTGAATAACATCAATCAACAATTAATTAGGAAGTAGTCAAATGATCTGCTACGATCAGTTGGATATAAAGGACCATAAGAACATCCTAACCTACTTGAAGTTGTGTCTTAACAACCCACAATGGATTTGTTGCAATGGTTGTTGCAGCCCAGCTCCTGAAGCAGATATCATATTTGAACCAAATGAAAGCTGATCATTTCCATCCTCTGTATGCTCACAAGACGAGACACAAGAAAAGTTCCCAGAATTAGATGAGATATTAAGTGCCGAGATTTCTATTCATTCCAAAACTATAATAACCAAAATTAAGTGATGGGTAGTGCAACTCGTGACAATTCCATCTGAAACTTCAAGTGAACTTAGCCCTTATTTGATTCTCATTATTTCGAAACTCATTTTGACTCAAACTCATTTTCAACCATACATTCTCACCATAAAATATTTTGCATGTAAACCCAAAACTTTTTCCAACTTTTTAACCACACATTCTCCAAACATTCAATATCACAAAACACATTTTGATGAAATAATGGGCGACAAATAGGGGCTTAATAAAGATTGCCAAATGAATGTACTCAACACGTACCATGTAAATGCAGCAGCTCTTTGAGGTGTCCATAAATAGTGAAGTAAACCTACAGATGACAAGTGTTGTGTCAGCTAGGGAGATCTAAGAAGAACTAAAGTATTTAAACTTCCAAGTACATGAAAAACAATTGAAAGGTAATTCTCAATTAAAGCAATTCTAAAGAATTTAACTACTCCATAGGCAATACTCACTGCCCAATTTGGAAGTAATGCTGCCAATGTTGGTGAAAGGCCACTGTACAATCCCTTCACTCCTTCTTTTCATACAATGTTCTGTAGGCTTGTCAAAATAAAACTTCCTGATTGATGAATGAAGCAAATAGCATGAAATAGGCTACAATCAATATCTTTGAGCAGAACGAAAGAACATGTGCAATCTAACCTGAAAGAAAGCTATCTTTTCAGAATTCAGATTCATTTGATTTAACATCAAATTCTTTCCATTATAATAAAGCTAGTTGCAACCTTCTTAATTCGGGATGCCACACAATTCTATTCAATCTAAAAACCAAGCACTACATTTTGCATTTCACTACCCTACTTAAGAGCTTGTTTGAGCCCCCTTTTTTCTTAAGAATGCATTTTGGATTAGTAGATTAATGGAAAATGTATGGCTGAAAAATAAGGAAAAGTTTTGAATTTGCATGTAATATTATTTATTGAAAAATGTATTTTGGAAATAATGAGTACCAAGCCAGGGCTAAATATGTAAAATAATAGTGAAATTCTTTTTAAGTTATGTCGCCCTTGATATAACTATACAAGCATGATACATTTATGCAAGGCTGAGGCCTCCAAAAGACTTCCTTATGTTAAATCATAATGTATCAAATGCCAAGATTGCTAGACCAAAGAACGATAGTGCTTCACGATCCATAAAAATAAGGTATCAAAGAAAATGCTAGGATACAAAAGTGTTGAAGCCAATGGATTGTCCAGCTGGAGATCATCTCATCACAGCTTAGCTGTCTAATTCACGTGTTTAGTGATTAGTTAGCTTAATTAGATATTAACAGATTTTCCCGCCTTTTATCTTTCCTGCCTTTTTCATATTTCAGATTTTATTTATAAGGTTAAACCTTTTTCATTCCTCAATTGAGTTGAATCCCCAAATACATTTCCTTCTTTCAATATGGTATCAGAGAAAATTATCAGCTTCTTCACTTGCAATTGATTTCTTTTTCGGATTAATCTCCATTAATCATGGCAAATGATCTAATTCAGATTTCAGCCTCTGCAATGAGCCATTCCGCCAATGAAGATGGTTCCAATCCGTATTATCTACATCACTCTGATAATTCGGGTCTCATACTTGTTTCGTAGCAACTGACTGGAGAAAATTATCCAGTCTGGAGTCGAGCTATGTTTATAGCTTTATCAGTAAAGAACAAGGTAGGATTTATAGATGGTTCTATCATTCGGTCGGATGACAACATTGAGCTTCTCAATTCCTAGATATGCAATAATAACATGGTGATCTTATGGATCATGAATTCTGTGTCAAAGGAGATCTTTAGTTCGCTTGACACTCATCAAATCCTCCCAATAAATTGGTATCAAATATTACTTTTACAACACATATAAAGTATTTCAGAATACGTGCAATGTACGGTTCAACTCTAACTAGTTTATCCAAAAAGGGTTTCAATAGAGACCGTCTATGACTTTCTTAAAAAAGTGACACATAATGTCACTAATTCTACCACCTTAATTCGAATTAGGAGTTGTATAAAATGCTACATTATCTTACTTTTTTATTTAAAGTACATTTTTAGTTCATATTCATATTTAAATTTTCACGAACACACATGTATGCATCTCTTTATTTGGTCAAAAAAGAATTCAAAGGATATATTTTGTAACATTTTTAAAAAAAGTGACAGGACATGTCACTTTTTCACCTTTTCACAAACACCTTCCAAGCATCACTCACTACAATTCATACAAATTTGAAATTTCATATGGGTGTAGAAAGGCTAAAGGTAGGGAATGAGGATAATTCTTTACCCCAGCTCTAACTGTTCAATCACTTTATATAACCAGCAGCTTTTCGAAGGCAGGTTGACCCAGGTTTTCATGAGCTTTGGCGGGTTTTGGAGTGCCTGTCAAGGGCTCTAGCGCGTTTGTTGCACCATGCTATTTTTCTTCTGATTGATTGATTTTCTTTTTTTCTCCTAGTGTGTTAAGAAAATCTCCTCTTAGTACTTGTAGAGTAGATTTTGGAGAATCGTCTGCCCATATTTCTTGAAGTGTCGAGAGTTGAAATCTGGGGGTCGCCAATTGTATCCATCCACTATGTACAAAACTCGAATCGTTTTCATATTTAGAGGAATAGTTCAACCTGATAATTCCCCATAGCTAGAGCTAACTGTTGGACGAAGGTACAAATCTGAATTTTCATATATACTAACTCGAAATCATTAATCTAAAAATGAAATTTTATATATGCCAAAAAAAATCTCAACAACATCAAATTTAAAGTGAAAATCATATTCGTAAATCTAATTTATAATTGGTAATTTTTTTAATCAAAATTATGTCCTAGATGAATTGTATTAAGAGTTATCAAATTGTAATCAAAGTCAAAATAGGAGTTATTAGGTCCTAATTATAGAAAGCGTTGGGATTGGTAGTATAGGTCTTGAAGGAGTTCAAACTTCAAAATGTCCAAAAAGATCACATATGATCATTGGAATCCAATTAGAAATCAAAGAAGTGTAAAAGTGTAGCACAATCATGCTCCAAAATTTTCATACAAAAAAAAATTAAAATTTGGACAAGGCTATCTCTGGAAGAACTGTAGTCCTTTGAATTATCTTTCCTACACACTTTGAATCGCCTCAATCTGATATCGAAAGAGAATGTTATAACGAAAATACTGATAACTGCTTGATTGCTGCTTACAGTGCTTGAGCCATATCCGAAGAACAATAATATTCGATTTTCAATCTAATTTTGAGTTTCTTTTCATCCCAAACACTACACATTATAAATATACAAGCCCATGAACGTTCCAAAGTGTGTTGAATTAGATTTATTCCATAGAGGTCAATTATTTGATGATCCAAAATATTCATTGATTCCAAGAGTCAACCACCACCTATTACTTGATCCATAAATTCTTCCAAAACATGCTTTGTTGATCAAGTTATATTGTCCCACATTAAAGCACATATCAAAATACAAAATCTTTTGATCAAACACCAAACTACCTGATCTACCGTAGATAAACGATATCAGGGATCAAGAGCTGGTGCGAAACATGCAATCCAGGAGGGCTGAGGTAATATACCAGAGGTCGGGAGCTTGTGTGAAGAGCATGCATTCCAAGAGGGCCAATTTGATATACCAGGAGTCCAGATCTAATTTGAAGAGCATGCAATCTAGTAGGATCAATGGCAACTACTGAAAAAGAAGGTCGAGGGAACTAAGGATTTGTCATGTCTGAACCATATTATAGGTTGTTTGAGTTATAGTAGATTATTGATTGGCAAAATGTTCGGAGTTTTTGATCAATTGCGAAGGTTTTCTCCATAATCATTTTGGTGTTCTTTATTTCTTTCATATAACAAATTGTGGTAATTCAATATAGGATAAATTGATGTGATTGGTTAATTATCTAGAGACAATTAAAAATTGATTTCTTGCTTTTAATTGTGTAATTCCGCACGTCAAGTCTAAATATGATAAATTGATAAATAAATTTAAACATTCAGCGTTCATAATATCAACAGTTAAAAAGAAATTAACATATAATTGCTTTTCTTTTACTGAATAATCATAAAATATATCATTGTTACTTAATAATCCAACAAAATATGAAAAAGTCAAAAATTACGAACATGCAAATGTAAGTCTATTATTTGCAGATGTAGAGAGAGAAAGGGGGGGGGGGGGGGGGGGGGGGGNGGGGGAGGGGGGGAGCCTTTGTCTTTTTAATGGGGCTTGTCTTTTTTATCCAATTATATTATTTTTTGAAGGTTAAATAAACTAATTAAATAAAATGATATTTAATGGTCTTATTAAAATAACTATTTAATCATCTTTTAATAATTAAGACAATATTAAAAATAAGAAAATACTTCATTACGTGTGTTGATCCCTAAGAATAAATTATTTTTTGGAGCAAAACGTTATGATTTTATGTACAAATTGCGCCATATATTTCCCTATTTTAAGATTTTGGGCGTGTTTTAGAAGTCAATTTTTGTATTGAAATCGAAAGATGGGATATGAGTGTTATTTTGATTGAAAATTATTCTCGATAGGAGAATGTGTTTTAATATTCAAGATGTTTCACTGAAAAGTGCTTCAATTAGAAGCAACTTTTTTTTGGGAGTGAATTGGGATGTTGGATTTTCAACCTTTTTCATTATGCAATGACCTTATTTATAGGTGATTCCATTGGCATTTTAGTCCTTTTATTAAGTTGACATTTCCTAATCATTATGTTAGAAGTTATAATTAGGTCCCCATTTGGCAGAGATTAAAATTAGATTTATAGTAAATTTTGATAAAAATTGATAAAATGTGTGGTTAAAAAGTTGTGAGCCCCATTAAATATATGGTAAAAATTAATTGTTGATTTTGATTTAGAATAAATTTTAGATTTTAGTTCCTATCAATGTTTCATTTCTAAGGTTTGTATAGGATGCCTTTTAAAATTTGTCCAATAATATATTACGTGCAAGCATGGATTTAGTGCGCTGACTTTTAAGAGGGTTTAGTTAGAGTTTGTACTAAAATTTCTATTAATATTCGAGACCATTAATTCGATTCGGAGCCTCCAATCGCGTTTATAGACAAGTGTTACGATTTAGCACATTTTGTTGCTTAGTGTGAGCATCGGTGGCCAAGGCATCTTTTGCTTAATTGTGTCTCGATAGCGAAAGCACAAATATTCAAAGAGAGCATGCAATGGGACCATTTTGAGACTGGCGTCGAGTCCTGATATGCCTTAATTATTTCAGCACGTAACAATGTATAGACTCGTAAGTTTTGAAATTTAAGCTTCTCACGCCTCGCTCGCGCCTTTTGAAACATTGCCTCATATCGTTAGGAGCGAAAATTGGATAGGTACCTTCCACAGATGAGGAGCAAGTAGATTGATTCGAACAGTCAACAAAAATAGCTCTAAATCAAAAGTCAGATAATTCACAGATTAAGAAAACCACTCATATCAAGACTTACGTGCCTCTTGTCCCCTTTCTTAAGAGATTGCATAAAAGGAAGCTCGAAGAACAATTTGAGAAGTTCTTTAATGTGCTAAAGAAGCTTCACATCAACATAACGTTCATCGATGCAATTAGACAGATTCTAAGCTATACAAGGTTCTTGAAAGACATGATATCAAAAAAAAGAAAGTTTCTAAAATTTGAATTTGTGGAATTAATAGAAGAGAGCAGTGCAAAGTTGCAA